ACTGGCGCAGCCTGGCACTAGGGGGAGCTCCAGAGCAGAGCAAATTGTACCCCGGCCGGGCCCGGGCCCCCAGACTTTCAGAGTCACGCCTGGGGGCTTGCCAGCTCGCCCCGTCTTCTGAAGCCCCCATGTTACCCTCGCAATCGGGGTCTCGCTCTGCACTTGCCTGGAGCCACCCGGGCCTGGGATGGTGGCACTGAGCAACTGCGTTGGACAAGTGCAGCCTCTTGGTCTATTATTCTCTGACCTTTCAAACAGGATATATATCCCCCCCCCGTTCCCCAGCCTCTTACCAGGTGTCTCTCTCTCTCTCTCTCTCTCACACACACACACATCCTCTCTTAGAATAGCTCTCACACACTGGCCCTTTGGAATATAAAGACTACCAGGGAAAAACACCTAGAATTTGCCAAGAACGAGAAAATACTAGACCGAAAACAAGCAGAGCACGTTACAATGGAGAAAAGGGGAAATTTGGGAACTTACGTTCAATACAAAAAAAGAAGAAGAAAGAAATCCCCAGCCAGCCCTCTGATCCTGCCCGACACCACACTAGCTTTACCGGCTTTAGCCAAACCGTGATGTCCCCCCTCTCTTCATTTTTCGCTGGACGGGCCCGATCCTGCTCCCCAGGAAGCAGATAGCCGTTTGGCAGGATCGGGCCCCATCCTGGGAGGGAGGAGTGACTGGCCCCTGCAATGTCCCCCCTGTTGTCTCTGCACGCCGAGACGTTCTCCTTCATACCAACAGGTGTAAATGTCACACCCGCTCCCTGCTGCCCTGTGTCCCATCCCGTGGGGTACCACAAGGGGCCGGAGGGCTCACCCCGGCCCCAAACCAGCCGAAACGATTTACAAGAGAAGTGCCCAGCCTTTTAATGAGTAGGGCCCGATCCTGCTCCCAGCGAATTGCATATGGGCAGCAGCAGTCCATTGCATAAGGCAACGGGGGGGGGCATTTGTCTCGGATCTGGGGGTGACTCACGTGGAAAGGGCACGAGCCCCTTCTGTGGGCACAGGGGTAAAAGCCTGCCCAGCTTTATGAGGGCTCGGAAGCTGGGCCCAGTCCCCAAGCCTCCCGGGAGACCCAGTGGTGTGAGGGGGCTCCCGGAGTTTCTCCTGGCAGGGACACTCCAGAGAACCCGATTTGCTTTTCCAGGGTCAGGGCAATTGGAGCCGAGTGGCGCAGCAGCCAGGCAGCCTGGCGATGGGAGAAGCCGAGGGATGGAGCTGACTCCGGGAGCCCAGGGCCCGGGGCGGGGCAGGTTAAAGGCATTTCTCTGGGTGGGCAAGGGACCCTGACATGAAATATAAGCGGCAAGAGCAATGCCTGGACGCCTGGCTAGGCCCAGTGGGTGAAAGCTGAACCAGCGCTGAGCCATGGGCTCCCCACATCCGGAAGTGATGTGCTCTGGGCAGCTTAGGGCCCCGGGTCAGGTGGTGTCTGGTGCCTGCCCTCCCACCTGATCCCCTCGCCCGCAGCTGCAGAGAGGGGACCCAGAGCAGGACGGATGAGGATCCAGCCCGTCTCCTTTGGGAGCCATGCCCTCTCCGGAGCTCGCTGTGTCCTCCCCTCCTGCAGGGCAGGATCCCCGCAGCCCCGTGCCTGCCCCTCCAGCCCTCCCTCAAGTTGCTGGTCTCCATTCCTGCAGGCAATGCTGGCAGCCCAGGAAACTTGTGGGGCGTGTGGGTTTGGAGCACGGAGGCAGATTTACGTTAACACCGAGTATTTGACATAACATGACACCTTATTACTCCGTTCCTGTTTGTTTTCGCGTTGTTTCCCCCAAAGAACTGGGTTGAACTAGATGGTTTTCCCCCCATCTCACTAGCTCTCAAGTACCAGCAAAATAATTTAGCACCCCCTAAGGAAACGAATGAGATTCTAATGTCACGGAAGACATTTTTAAACAACGTGTTGAATATTTTAAGGTCTTACAAAAAAAATCACAGAAGTATCGTTTTAATGTATTCAGTTTTCTCGGTGACATGCCTTAGTCACTCCGGATGTGTTGCTTCAATATTCAGCGACACTTAAAGGATACATTTATATTTTTTTCCAAATTATATGGGGAGAATTAAGCCTTTTCTTCTGCTCTATTTGTAGCCTTTCCTATTAGATTTGAAACGGTTTCTTCATATTTTGCCGTTTGGGTTTCTGTGTCTAGGGCTTTACGTTGATCTGGGATTTATTTTTACCCCTTTATTCCTTTGCAAAGATATTTCTGAATGGCAATACGGAGTGAAATCAGATTAGAATTCACACTACGTCTTAATTGCCAGGCATGTGCTCCAAAAGCCATCCCTCGTGAGTTAATCAGACTCGAGAGCTAAGGAAAGTTTTCAACCATAGGGGTTAAAAGAGACAGAAAAGACGTGATAAATAAAAGGTTCCGTGTTTGTGTGGAGCAGGTTGTTACTGAATGTCAGTTTGCTTCTATTTATCGTTTGTGATTAGGAGTAATCACATCCGTGACAATTCGAGCAAGCCTGGGAAACCCTATAATATTATTGTGAATGCCTGAAATAACGGTTTTATTATTGCTACCCAATGAGCTATTTAGTGTTTGAACTATTCAGATATCTGGCTGTATTTTCAGTGAACTCGTCTGATTTGCCCGTACGGTAGAATGCAGACCTATTAGATATTCATTGGTGATATAACGTGTTTTTCAATATATAGGTGTTAAGTAACAAAGGGCTAAGGCCAGGAACAACGTCCATGGAAGATAGACGCAATTACTTAATTTTATCCTGACAGAAGCAAATGTAGTTTGAAAGCAATCTTCCTGGTTTACTAAGGAAGATGAATTACTTTCAGTGAAATGTCCCTCGCTCCCTCTGCACTTTGCCCACTGTTTAATTGAATTAGTGAACCACTTTCAATTGAAAATATTATTTTCAAAGCTCCTGTATTTATTCTTCAAAAATTCAAAATAGAACCGACTGGGGAGGGCAAAAGATTAGCAAAACATCATATTTTCCTTCTAGTAAACTGAGTAAGAAAAGCTCAAGGTTTACTACGATCGCTGCATTTATTTGTGAATTTCTGTAGACCTGTTTATTTTTACTTACACAAACTAATCAGTCCAGCGGGGTTATCATTAATTGCCCGTCAGCACTGTACTTAAAACGGAAATATTTATGTCAAGACAACTCAGAATCTGACTTTCATTTGATGGACCGTATCTATAGTTATATTACAGCAAACTAGCCAATTCATTTCCCAGCATTTCAATAATCCGCCCTTTGTTCTGCTATAATGTGTTGTATATTACATTTTTATAATCGCACGAATAAATCAAATCATTTGTCTTTCGTTTAGAATCACCATGTCGTTGCCTCAGACTAGAGATCAACACATGTCGGTTGCAAAAGGCATTAGAAGTTGTCAGGATAAAGTTTTAGGTCTTTTTTTGTTTGGTTGGTTGGTTGGTTGGTTTTTGCAGGTATACTAGCAGGAATAGCGGGAATGCCTCAGCTAGAAAACAAATCCAATTATTTCATTGTAGCGTTATCTCGGGTTCAGAGAAGTAAGGCAGAATACCTAACCTGCTTCTATGGCTAGAATTAAGCCACTATTCAACCAGTGTGTTTTTCACCGAGCGGATTCAATTAATATTGGGACATTTTTTCAAAGTGTCAGTTGTGTAATGAGAAACTTGTTTCAGAAAAGAATGGACGTTATCACTGTAACCAACCAGCAAACACGGGGAAAGTGATTGCCCAGTTGGGAGAGACCGGGGCGCATTTAAACTTTGCTTGAATGTCATTTGCCACTAAAAAAAAAAAAAAAAAAAAGTAACATTTCAAATGTAGATCCCAGATCAAGACAATTATATGTCTTTGTTCCATGTAAGCTCCCTTTGTAGGAGCTTCACAACATATTCTCCCGTTGTCCTGTAGATGTTGTGGAAGTTAATATTGATACTAGCAGAATTTCACATGTAATCTCACTTCTCCCCTTAAGTTTTCAGCAGCCATCTCCCGATCCCTTCGCCCACTCCCGTCTAGCTTTAAAGGCGTCCACGTTTATTTTAAAAATGCGTCTGCGAGTTGCAGTAAATTGCATTTGCTCGGAGCTACAAAGAGGGAAGTTAAGCATTTGTCTGCGCTGTTGTACAGGCAGGCAGTTGTTTTAATTAAAGGGTGGGGCTCCGTGATATAGACACCAGATAAAAGCAAAACGCACAGAATAAACTAATTAAAACATTGTGTTTGGAACACATTTTATTTCTTTTTTTGATCTGAGTTGTGTTTTAAAGAAATGTCAGCGCACTAGAAAGCAAGCCCGTGAAACCTTATTTCCCTTCGAGTGTGCGGCGCTTTTCAAAGGCTAGTGTGATATATTTTAGAAAAGAAATCCTGCTGTGAAAGCTTGCGTGTCTTCTCTTTACCAAACTAAGCTCTTGTCAATCATGCCAAGCCATATCCAATCACCAAGCCCCTTTCTGGAAAGCAGCTCATCCCGCTGTGCTTTTATATATACACGGCAGCATGTTTAGATGCATTTTTACTATCACTTTAAGGGCTCTGAATGATGAGGGGATAGTTACGGGACCGAGCTCCCCAAACGCTGGAGTGGCTAACAATTTGCCTGGCTATTGTGTGTGTCTTTCTCTCCCCCTTTCCTGGCTCACGTGGGCTGGGTTTGTTATGGACACTAAGTAGGCAAATATCGGGGGGAGGGGGGCTAATTAATTTTGGAGGTTCCCATCCACCTGCCTAGCTCACACTATGACAGGCTGGTCGAGGTTCACTAGTTGCCCTACCCTGGGGATAGTTATACCGAGCGCAGCATGGCGCTGCCACCTTTGGTACTGGGGAATGGAGGGCACCCCACTGGCAAGTCCTTAAAACTCGGCTCCTCTCACAGTTTGCCAGATTCTGACACCGGGCTCGGTGTATGGCTGGAGAGCCCCAGTGTCTCCTCTCTCCGCTCTGCCTCTGACACCAGCTGGGACAGCTCGCCCATAAGCAGAGATTCCCCCAGGACCCACCATGCCCGGAGCTGCAGAGGAGAATTCCTCCAGAATCTCTTACCATGGCATGTTCCGGATGTATCTAGACTCACCCAACCACAGGGGACGTGAGAACCAGGGTTTGCCAAAGCAGGCAGCTAGCACCAGACACTCTAAGGAGCAGGGGGCACGAAGGCTGGCAAGGGATCTGAGACCCAGGTCCCCCCATTGCAGCCCAGTAACTGGAGTTCAGCCGGAGCTGCCCTTTGCCTCTTCGATTCTAGAAGGGTATCAAGCGATGAATCGGGCAATCCATAGAGAGAGCGACGCTTGTCTCCCTTGCCCTGGACGGCCCATTCCACAAGAACTGATCTGCAAGTGGACTGACCGCAAAGGACACCACTCCAGGCAGGCTTGCTCCAGAATATTCAGCACCATGTATGAGCTAGTTCACCATGTCACCATGGAGCACGTCGGAGGACCAGAGCAGACCAACCATATTTGTGACTGGGAGGGCTGCGCTAGGGAGAAAAAACCCTTTAAAGCCAAATACAAACTCATAAACCACATCCGAGTGCACACAGGGGAAAAGCCGTTTCTCTGCCCGTTTCCTGGGTGTGAGAAAGTGTTTGCAAGAGCTGAAAACCTGAAGATACATAAAAGAATCCACACAGGTTAGTTAGACTGCAAGTAGCAATAGTAGTGAGTAGATTTTTTGGGGGGGTGGGGGGAATCATTTGCTTCCTGAACTTGGAAGGGTTGAAATAGCAATCAAAACCAATCCGAATAAAATACAAATAAATAATACCTTAGTATTAATTTTCCTTTCATTTGAATGGAAAAGCCCCCAGAGCGGTTGCATGTGCTATGTTTACCTCTGGATGCTGATTATAACTGGGGGAATATTTTTGCTGTATTTCTGGCTCATAATTGAAAACAAGGGACAATTGTTTTTACTAACATTTCCCCTCCCATCCGCCTCAAACTCTGTGATTACAGGCTACTGCCCCAAGGTAAACCCCCAACCCACCCACCCACACTTAATACTTCTTCAGTCAATAATACACGAATATTGTCTGAAGGTAACAAGCACCCCTCCCCTTCCCACACTCCAGTTTCAGTGACAATATCTTCCCCTAGAACCTTACAGCGCTTGACAAAATGAGTCTTCTTTCATGTGATTATGTCATAGTAGTAAACAAAAAGGGAAGTCATTTTTCTGTTAGAAGGAAGAAATAGACAACTAGCAGTGAAAGAAATGTCTCAACGGCGTCTGCTTTCCTCCACGTTTTCCTGTAAAAATTTACCTAACCTGCCCAAATTTTGCCCCAGCTTTTTGTCTAATTAGATTTCGGTGTCCCTCGTTTTTAAGACCCCCTTCAAGTCTACTCCCCCACCCCCAAATACGGCCCTGTGCCCACAATTTTTTATTAAGATCTCTACCTAGCCAAAAGAAAAATGCGAGGAAACGCTGTGCGGAAAGGATAACATGCTACCGAGGATTATTTTGCATTAGATCCCAGTTTGGACAAATCGAAATGTTAAACAAATATTTAAAAAACAAGAATTTTAGAGGCATGCTGGGAAATTCTCTCTCTGTCTGACTGCATCTGTCTATCCACCCAGACAAAGCCAGCAAATTCTGACACCAGAGAAATGAGTAAACATATGTTATGCTTCCTCTGAAGGCAGAGCGAGGACTTGCATTGGGGTAGTGATTTCAGGCGCTTTATTAATAATGATGATGCTCGCCCAAACCTGAACGATTCTAGGTATTATTTTATTTATTTATTTGCGCCATCATTTAAGACATACGTTGTGATGGCTGATCTGCTAGCGCCTACCCCCCCAGCCTGCAGATCACACTGAAATGCTGGGTAGCTGAAAGGTGTCACTGAAAAAGATAAAGTTACTGGTTCTGAAAACAGTAGGTTCTTTTGCTCCTGGAAATGACGCGTTGCCTCGCGCGGACACGTCCTTGTGCCCCGTCCACACGCGATCGCTCCAGTCCCGGCTTCGGGTGAGCATGTGGGTTTCTGTTCTAGGAGAGAAGCCGTTCGTGTGTGAATTCGCTGGGTGTGACAGGAGGTTTGCCAACAGCAGTGACAAGAAGAAGCACACCCACGTGCACTCCAGCGACAAGCCGTATCGCTGCAAAGTCAAAGGGTGCGAGAAATCCTACACCCACCCCAGCTCCCTGCGCAAACACCTGAAAACGCACCGCAGCCTCGAGCCAGCCCTCTCCACCGCCACCACCAAGCCCACGGGGGCGCAGGAGCCGGGGGCTGGCGCCTGCCAGTCATTGGCCAGCCTTGCCGCTTGTCTAGCCAGGTGTGGACCCTCCAGGTGCCAGGGCAGAGAGAGGGACACTCCGGAGACGGAAAGAGGGGGCGCCCCCCACGCAACCTCCCGCAGTGGGCGTGAGGCCAGACGGACCCCTCTGCCGGCTCGCCCCCAGCTCTGGCGCAAGGTGCCCTCCCAGGGCTCCCGCAGGTCTCCCAGCCCACTCACACTCCCGGCCGGGCTCGGAAAGGGCTGGGAGCCAGGGCAGAGCAGGGCCACTGGCGCTGCCCACAGCAGGCCCGAAAGAAACGCTCCCCCTTCCAGGAGAGGGCTCAGTGAGCTCTGACGGGTCACTTCCCCGGGGCCAAAGGGAGCCTTCTTCCCCCTGCCCGCGCCGAGAGCTGGGGAGCTGCAGTTCCCTCTGGGAACTGGATCGTCCACGTCCACGTGTGGTGGGTGGGAAACGCCTGCAACCTTCTTCGGACCTGGGGTTAGCAGCCAAAGGGGCTCCCGAATGCTGGCCTAGGAATCCACGCCCGGCTGGTCTCTGCCAAGATCAGCTCATTTCCCCACCGGGACGGCAACAACTGGAAATACATCGGTCATCCGCGTCATGAACCCGAACCTGCGTCTTTGGCAAGTGCTGCGCTAAAGGCCCGTCTCTCTCTCTCACACTCACACACGTGTTACTCAGCACACGTGTGTTCTGTGCTTACAGACGCTCAGCTAAGCCTGGGTCCTTATCCGCCAGCCAGGAAACCGGCCCGCACCGATTTCAATCATCTGTGTGCCAAACCGTTTCTTTCTGTGGAGAACACGTCTTCTTGGCTCTCACTGGCACGTTCTAGGCGAGCGAGGGTTTAGCCTGTCACACGGTTACATTTGCAGCCTCATAGAGACGTTGCAGAAATAGGGTTGTAATTGTAAGCCTGTGCTTAGAGATAGAGATTTACAGCGCTACAAGAGTGATTTGTTGATTTAGCATTAATGTTCGTTGGTTTATTGTGTCCGTTTCCTTGCTCTGCTCTGTTTATGTTCGAGATGTGCGAGTTTTGTATCGATGTTTGACACACGATTTGAAATAAATCACTGAATGTGCTCCAGACTCGGGCACGTCTGGTCGCAGGGAGATGTAGTGTTGCCAGTTATTGGTTGGGAATTATCTAGATTACAGTAAACGAACTGATTCTGTTAGCTGGGCTGGACAGTAGATACCCAGATCTGTGGAGTCTGTTTTCCGTGGATGGAGCCCAATGATCCAAGTCTAGCTTGTAATGTTGTAAGCATCTAGACAACGACAGCTCATTCTTTGACTGAAGTCGCTTAGTTGTAATTACTAACATAAGAACACAAGAATGGCCATACTGGGTCAGACCAAAGGTCCATCTAGCCCAGTATCCTGTCTGCTGACAGTGGCCAATGCCAGGTGCCCCAGAGGGAGTGAACCTAACAGGTAATGATCAAGTGATCTCTCTCCTGTCGTCCATCTCCACCCTCTGACAAACAGAGGCTAGGGACACCATTCCTTACCCATCCTGGCTAATAGCCATTAATGGACTTAACCTTCATGAATTTATCCAGTTCTCTTTTAAACGCTGTTATAGTCCTAGCCTTCACAACCTCCTCAGGCAAGGAGTTCCACAGGTTGACTGTGGGTTTGTGTGAAACAGAACTTCCTTTTATCCGTTTTAAACCTGGTGCCCTTTAATTTCATTTGGTGGCCCCTAGTTCTTATATTATGGGAACAAGTAAATAACTTTTCCTTATTCACTTTCTCCACACCACTCATGGTTTTATATACCTCTATCATATCCCCCCCTTAGTCTCCTCTTTTCCAAGCTGAAAAGTCCTAGCCTCTTTAATCTTTCCTCATTTGGGACCCGTTCCAAACCCCTAATCATGAATTAACCCCTCTTCTCCCCCCCCCACAAGCACAGTCCGGAAAATTGATATTAAATCATTTTCCCTAATCCATCACTGGAAATGCAGTTGATTATTGACAACCCCCATTTGTCTCTATGGTTTTTCCCTTTTTTGCCAGGTTTGGCCTCCTAGCTTAAAAGTATCCGTGCAAAGTCACACTTTGCGGGGGTTGGGGGGGGTGAACCCTGGCATTTTTAACGATTTAATGCAATTCTCAATGGCTTGTCTCACCCTAACGACAAGCAAAGCAAGGCCAAGGACGGCTTCTCTTTTCATATGCACACAACATGCAAACGTGGAGTATTTTAATCTATATTATATATATATAAAAATAATTCCTAATCAACTCTTGCCAGATTCCCCAGACTTTCAGTTATTAGCAATTCTCTTTGGAGGCCCTTGGCAATTTTACTGCATGTCAGACAGATAAAAGATTCTCCGGATCAAGCGTTATTAACACATTTTTGTGATCCTTTAACACTTGTGCCTGTAACTCTTTGGGCGTAAGCAGCGATTTGACTAGCGTCGGTGGGCATGTGCAATTCTGATACTTTGAAGCTCTTTGAGGGACCCGATCCTGAGGCCCTTCCTTGGCCAAGTACGGGGGTAGGGGATCAGCCACTAATTACTACATTGCCTATCTAAGTTCCTCAAAAGCATTCAGAGACTGTTCAGATGTTCCAGTCTTCAAACCTCGAATGGACACAAAGAAAGCCACCGTCCCATTAACCTTCTACCCCAGATACCAGCAAACAGAGTCGGGGCAAACGCTCTTTCGCGGAGTTCGTGCGTCATGTGAGTTCTAGATCAGAACTAGCCCTGAAAGCTAGAACTCGGGCAACCAGCTGCAAGTAGGCGGTGAGTAGACAGAGAACGCCATGCTCTGTCTTCAGGGCAAACACCGCATTGCCATCCGATCTTTGGATTTATGTCTCCAAAGTAAACCGTGTTCCACAGCCTATTTCCCATAACCGAGCTCTGAGTAATTAGGTTGGAAAAACCAGGAAGCCTTTACAAATACGCAATTCTCATAGAAAACTAGCGGAGAGTCTGTGCTTTAGATAGATTAGATAGATTAGATAGAGAGAGAGGGTGTATGGGGATAGATAGAGAGAGGGGGTGTATGGGGATAGATAGATAGATAGATAGATAGAT